TGTATGAACAGGGTCAGTATTAGAATGTGTGGGTGTGAGACAGACAGAGCAGTCAGGTGGACTCATTATTGGAGTCATGTTATATGTGCGTATTTGTGTGTGTGTGTGGGAGGTCAGTATCAGAGTCACTCAGTCTGTGTGAAGGATCAGTATGGGAGTCATCACTGTGTGTGTGATACAGAGAACGCATACATACACACCTGAATGCAAGTTCACTTTTAGAGTCATCAGTGTGTGTGAGGGGTCACATTAGGGTCACTGTGTGTGTGGAGTCAGTATTAGAGTCACAGTGTGTGTCTTGCTTTGTGCGTGGTTTGAGATGTGAGTATCAGGGTCACTCATTGTATGTCTGTGCGTTTCTTTTTAACTCACGTTGTAGGATGTGGGCATCGCTGGCTGGGCCACCATTTACTGCCCATCCCTTGACAGGGTGATGGTGAGCTACCTACTTGAACTGTTGCAGTCTACGTATGTAAGTTAACCCATAATGCCCTTATAGGGAAGGAATTCCAGAATTTTGACTTACCAACAGTGAGGGAACAGTATTATATTTCCTAGTCAGGATGGGGAGTTGCTTGGAGGGGAACTTGCAGTTGGTGGTGCTCTCAAGTATCTGCTGCCCTTGACCTTCTAGCTGGAACTGGTCATGAGTTTGGAAGGTGCTGTCGAATGATCTTTGGTGAATTTCTGCAGTGCATCCTGTAGATAGTAGACACTGTTATGACTGAGCATTGGTGGTGGACCGAGTCAATGTTTGTGGGTGTAGTGCCAATCAAGTGGGCTGCTTTGTCCGGGATGGTATCAAGCTTCTTGACTGGTGTTGGAGCTGAAGTCATCCAGTGCCTGTGGAATTCATCACTCTCTGTGTGTGTATATGTATTAAGTCAGCGTAAAAATTGCTCTGTGTGTGTCTAAGGGGTCAGTATTGAAATCACTGTATGCGTGTTATGGTATGAGGAGTCAGTATTTCATCACTCAGTGAATGTGTGTACACAAGGATCAGTTTTAGAATCAGTGTGTGCACACGAATGTGTGGTATGAGCAGTCGGGTGGCGGTGGATGTGCTTGTGTGAGGAGTTACTGTATACTTGTGTGTGGAATGTATTAGAATCACTCAGTATGTTTGTGTGTGTGAGGGTGTGTTTTGTTACTGTGTGTATGGTGTCAGTTGTGTGAGAGCAGTCAAATCACTGAATGGAAAGCAGTTAGGTTGCTATTTGTGTGTGGAGTCAGCATTAGAATGACTGTGTGTGCATATGTGCAGGATCAGTATTCGAATCACTCGATGTGTGTTTGTGAGGAGTAAGTTTTTGGTCACTCTGCTTGGATATGTATGTGTGAGACAGAGAGTGCAAGTGAGAGAGAGGGGTGAGGTCACTCACTTTGCGAGTGTCGAGTCAGTATTACAGTTGCTCAGTGTGTGTATAAAGGTTCAGAATTGGAATCACTACGTATGCATGTGACGAGAGCTGTCAGTTTGTGGTCATTCAATGTGTATGCGTGTGAAAGAGTGTGTGACTGAAAATGCGGAGTATTTCACTCATGAGATAGATCAATACTGTATGGTCTCTCACTCACTGGGACCAACCTACAGTGCGCATTTTGTCACTTGGATTGACTGATACTGCACAGCATCTCACTCACTGGGATCCAACGACACTGCACAGTATACCACCCACTGGGATCAGTGTTCTCTGCAGAGTATCTTGCTCACTGGAATCATCTGACACTGCACAATATCCCACTCACAGGGATTGACAAATACGGCACAGTATCTCACTCAGTGGAATTGACCAATGCTGTCTGGCCTCTCGCTCATCAGGTTCACAGAAACTCTAAAGTGCAGAATGAGGCCATTAGGCCCATTGAGTCAGTACTGACCCTCCAATGACCAACTCACCCAGACCCAACACACTACCCTATCTCTGTAACACCACATTTACCATAGCTAATCTACCTAGCCTGCACATTTTTGGACACTACAGGGCAAGTTAGCATTGCAAATCCACCTAACTCACATCTTTGAATTGACACCGCACTACAAAACACTAGAAAAATTCCAACATTGCCAATTTCAGCCCCATCAGTTTACTCTTGCTCATCAGTAAAGTGATGGAAGGTGTCATCAACAGTGCTAGCAAGCAGTACCTGCTCAACAATAACCTGCTCACTGACACCCAGTTTAGGTTCCACCACTGATACTCAGCTCCTGACCCCATTAAAATCCTGGTTCAAACATGAATTCCAGAGGTGAGGTGTGAGTGACAGCCCTTGACATCAAGGCTGCATTCACCGATTGTGGCATCAATTCCTATCAGTGGTAAACACCCTGCTGGTTACAGTCATACCTGGCACATATGAAGGTGGTTGTGGTTAGAGAAGGTCAGTCATCTCAGCTCCAGAACATCTCTACAGGAGCTCTTCAGGGTAGTGTTCTTTGCCCAACCATCTTCAGCTGCTTCATCAATGACCTTCCTTCCATCGTAAGGTCAGAAGTGGGGATGATTGTCAATGATCACACAATAAGTTCAGCAACTTGTCACATAAACACAGTGGCTACAACAGCAGGTCAGAGATTAGGAATACTGTGGTGAATAATTCACCTTCTGACTCTCCAAAAGCCTGTCCGCCATCTACAAGGCACATGTCAAGAGTGCGATGGAATACTCACATCTGGATGAGTGCAGCTCCAACAACACACTAGAAGCTTGACACCATCCATGACAAAGCAAGCTGCTTGATTGACATCACACCCACAAGCATCAAGTCTCTCCGGTGCCAACGCTCAGTAGCAGCATGTACTATCTACAAGATGCACTGCAGAAATTCACCAAAGATCCTTAGATAGCACCTTCCAAACACATAGCTACTTCCATCTAAAATGACAACGGCAGCAAGTATGTGGGAACACCACTATCTACAAATTCCTCTCCAAGCCACTCACCATCCTGACTTGGAAATATATTGCTGTTCCTTTGCTGTTGCTGGGTCAAAATCCTAGAATTCCATCCCTAAGCGCATTGTGGATCAACCACAGCATCTCACTTACTGTGGTTGACCGACACTGTATAGTACCTCATTCACTGGGATCGACTGACACTCATTGGGATAGAATAGTATCTCACTCACTTGAATAGAGTGACATTGCACAGTATCTCACTCACTGGGAATGATGGGCCCCGAACACCATCTCGCTCACTGGCTTCAACTGAAAATACACAGTAACATACTCACGGGATTTGATTGACACTGCACATCACCTCATTCATTGGGGTCGACTGCCATGGCACAATATCTCACTAATGGGGTCGGCCAACACTGCACAGAATCTCATTCACTGGGGTCAACCAATACTGCATAGGATCTCACTAATTGGGATCCACCGACACTGTACAGTATCTCACTCACTGGCCTTGACTGACACTTAATATCTCACTCGCTGAGATTAACCGACAGTGCACAGCAACTCACTCACTCAGATTGTTGGACATTGCGCAATATTTCACTAACCAGGATTGACAAAACTGCAGTCTCTCAGTTACCAAATCCACCTATAATGCAGTGTATCTCATTCACTGGGATCGTTTGAAGTCATACAACACCAGGTTTTAGTCCAACAGCTTTACTTGAAATCACAAACTTTTGGAGCGCTGCTCCTTCATCAGGTGAAGGCTTCTGACTTTGTCCACCCCAGTCCAACACTGGCATCTTCACATACTAGAATTGTTCAACTTTGTCTGGTCTCTCCCTCACTGGGATTGACCAAAATCATGCAGCATTCTTCCACTGGGATTGACCAATGTCAACCACAGAGTTGCCATCACTCATTGGATTGATTCAGGATGGAGCATATTAGATCACTGTGGAGAATCAGCCACAGAAAAGTGTGCCTGTGGAGTACCGTGTGTGTGTTGCAGCAGATGGCATGGAACTGCTCAGATCCCTCGAGATTGATGGAAAGGCGCACATTTATTGTCCATCCCTCGAGAACATACTTGCCTTGGCAAGTATAACTGAGTGGCTCATTGGACCCGTTAAAAGAGTTGACCACTTTGCAATGAGTCTGGATCCACACATAGGCCAGACCTGTAAAGACAGCTGATTTCATTCCCTAAAGAAGCATTTGTCACTCAGATTGAGCTTTTCTTTCCCAATTAGGAAAGTTCCACAGTCACCATTTCTGATGACAGATTTTTATTCCTGAAACCGCCTAGCTGCCCCTGTGGAATTAGAGTTCATACCTCTATATTGTTTGTGCAGTAATATATTCACTTACTACCATTCTCTCTGCACTCCTGCTACCACTAACTTAAGATAGCTCAACCAGCACAGAATAATAAGTCAATTGAAAACATCTCCAACGCTGCACACTGCTCTGAAAACCTGTTTCCTTTGATACCTAACCACTGAACTCCTGCTACCACTACCTTAGGATACCTTACTCAGCACAATAATAAACCAACCCTGCTCAATGCTCTCTAAATCCCACTCATTTGATCTCTAACCTGCAATCTCACCATGTCCACTCTAACTGGTTGTAACGTTTCTTGTGCTGGTTTGAAGCTCAAGGTCCTTTGCTGACAGCCAGAGACTCAGTACTGCAGATGCTTTGGAGGCATGGTGTCGGGATAGGAGCACAGAAGAGTTTAAAAAATGTGGTTACAAATCAGGGAGGTACTTTAGGATGAGAAAGGAATTAAGCTGCTTGGGACTTCAATGGGTTTTTAATTCCCTAAAAATAATTATACTGTTCTTAGTTATCATGCATGGATCAGTACTTCCACCTGACAGCAGACACTTAACTAATACTTCACTGAGGGAGTACTGGACTGTACAGAATGTGCCAGAATACTTGCTACAAAGCTGTGTTGATGCAGCTGGGAGGTGGGAAAATAATGCAGTAAATGATCCACAGTTAAAGTCAAGAATCTAACTGCCTGCAAAACTTGCTCTATTGAACAATAATGTTGCAAAAAGACAGAGAGATCACACTGCTGGGATGGAAAGTACATTTTTTTTTTACTGATGTTTACATTGGAAAGAGTTTAAAAATACAATCGTTTTGGGTGTCCATAACGCTAAATTAATTGATTCACTTGCAAGTCCCTGGTCTAAAATGATTAAGTCTTTAAAATGTCAAATCAAACCATTCCCATGTAGCATTCTTTTTCAGATAATTTTCCTGCTCCTGTATTACACCAAATGCAACCTTCTCTCTGCAAAGCCTATGCTTTGTCCTTTGTTCTGAGGAATATGTTCAAGCAAGAACTAGAGGATAAAGAGCTTGAAATCTGCTCATTTCAGCAATCACTGCAAAACCAAAAATATTTGTGGCTAGCTTAAAGCAGTTAATTTGTCAAAAACAATTTTTTAACCAGTGTTTATCGATTATATTCAGACAGTAGCTTGAGAGCTGCACCTTAGTTTGGACAGATGGAATTTATTCTGCTATGCACTGGCTATTCAGAGAAGTAATTGCATGGGGAAATATCCCTTAACATGTCTAGCTATCCATTTCTTTCACAAAGGGCTTCACCATTCTAATGTGAAAGACCAGTGTGCAACTCATCAAGTAATTACGTCACAAATATTTGGGGTTTTACAGTGTTTTGCTCTATTTTAAAAAAAAATACAATGAAAAAATAAACATCAGAATTAAAATTGTCTTTTGGTGTAAAAACGTTGCAATAAAATGACAGAAAATCATTTTTACATATTTTAAGCTTGAACCTTTCTGCTGCTCTCCCTCTCTACCCCATGGAATAACGGCTTTCAGTCCGGTTTAGATGCGTGAAACCAGGTGGAAGGAGAGTCAAACATGTTTCATGAAATTATAAAAGTTATTTGGCATACCTTGAGCCAGAGAGAGAGGGCAGAATTTGCAACACAAATACATATTCAACTGAGAGTAAGAGCCATTCAAGTGGAGGGATTCGAGAGACTTGCCAAGAACTCTTTTTTTACAACTTGTCGAGAGTATCACAGCTAACCTTATCCTGTTCTCAGCTAAAGTCTGACATGGTGTTAACTTCCAACAACTGATTGCTTGGGGATTTTGAGAAAAGGAAACAAAAGGCAGTTATTGGCATCATAATCAGCTATTCTCAGTGGGGAACATTGGGTAAACTCTAATTCTGGGTTTTGTGGCACAGTGGTTAAGTCCCTACCTCTGATCTGTATGGCCTGGCTTCAAGTCTCACTGTTCTAGGGATGGGTCAATGTACATCTTAATAGGTTGATTAAAAATACCTAAACTCCAATTCTTCATACAATACTTGTGAATCTTTTCACCATATCCCACCCTCCTCAATAGGTATGACTCCCGGGGAGCCCAACATCCTGTAGCCTCATGCCAGAGTCATTATATGTCCACTTGGGTGAGTCTGCTTGTGAGAGAATGAGAGAGTGTGCGCACACATGCATGAAAGAGAGAGAATATGAAGGTATCGGTTTATCCATGCATGTGTGCAAATGTATGTGTGTGCATGTGTGCCAATGTGATTGTCTGTGTGTATGCGATTAAGTGTCAGTGAAACTAACCATTGATTGTCTATAGAGCAGTCAATTAATTGCAAACATGATCATCTTTCTTCACCAAACACACACACACATATATCCAATATAGGGTGCTGGATAGAAATAAGGAGGAGGAGTTCCATTTTTTCCCTCCATGTGCTCATACACCCTCTCCAAATCCACTATGACCCTTGGGACACTGATAATAATTGTAGCATTTCCCCACTACCCCTCAGCTACAATGAATCAAAACCAAATGCTTTCTAACATACAGCTCTGCTACTCAATGGTTAATTATATTCCTGATCAAAAGGCGATCACTCCAACAGGATGTTTTGGAAGCGAGCACTCACAGTGACCAGGTGCCACACCTTGTGACACACTGTGACCAGGTGTCACATAAGAGCAAGTCTATCTTTGCTAATGATTTCAACTCAAAATGTCCAAAAGGAAAAATATAACGCAATAAATGTATACATAAAACACGGAAACACACAATTCTGACTTTTAGATTCAATGTGCATACATTCCCAAGAAGTAAAAACAGACCCAATATCTTTCCTTAATCTTAGTTTAGCAAAAACAGATTAGCAGCTGGAACTGAGCTCTGCTCACAGAGGGGACTTTACTGTTTTAATGCCTCATTTTATTCTTGAGCAATGTCACAATTTAGAGGGAAGTTAAATGTGGAGAGGCCAAATACCTGAGCTCAAGGTCAGCCTCCTCCCACCATAGGTGTCACTTTGGGACATTTTCCTTTTCTTGCTGGCCTCAAATGAGGAATGGGGTGGGGGAGGCAGTGGTGAATAGAGAATGCCTTTAGAAAATCATTAATAACAACTGAAAAAGTGTCATACTGGACTCAAAACGTTCACTTGGTTTCACTTTCCAGGGACACTGCTAGACCTACTGAGTTTCTCCAGCATTCTCTGTCTTTGTTTTAGATTTTCAGTATCTGCTCTATTTTGCTTTTATTTGAAGAGGAGACAGGATACAAGGAAACACAGAGGTCTAGTGCAATTCAATCTCTTTCCTTGCTGAACTAAGCCTAAAGACTCTGATGAGTTTTATATCTCACTGGCTGAGGCATCAGGGAGAATTAAACTCTGCACACGTGAAACCAAGGAGTGGAAAACATGTGGGGTCTGTATTACAAAGGAAGAATCTGTACAGCCAATGTCAGAACGAGCTCTTCTCAAAGTCCTGAGATCTTCACAACATAATGTCATAAAATACAATGGGATAGAATCCACTCACGCATTCACTGTACTACTCACATGAAACACGAAATAAATAGAAATGATCTATTATAGCTTTTTAAGTTTTTTTTAAATAAAACATTATTCATGCAAGAGCCACATAATAAGCAATTTCCTACCATTCAAGTTTGTTTACATCCATGTGTAACAGCTTCACTTTATTCAGCTAGTGCTGAATACAACTGGTTGTCACTCTAGGTGGCTACAGTGATCAGGCTCCACTACAACATATGACATTGGGAATGAGTTCATCCTCTCCCCAACAGCCCCATTCCCTGGCCAAATCGTCAGCGACTATCGATTATTGCCAAGAGTAAACATCAGGGTATTTGCTGGTCAGTAAAGTAGGCATTAAATCTGGAGATTAGTGGTGAGAGAAACCTTGTGTATGTGGGCGACCTCATGACAACTGCTGTCTTGAGTGAACCAGAACAATTTGAATGATGTCTAGGCATAATCACTTGAGACAGAGGGAAAGCGCAAACGACAGAGAGAGAGACAAGAGAGAGTTGAGGGGCTTGGCAAGAAGGTTGATGAAATGGGGTTTGGAGTAAAAACGAGGAAGTAGGGAGTGGATGTAAACCAAGGCATTTGAGGTGAGAGACAGCATTCTGGTCACCAAGTGCAGCATTAAGCTGTGCTAATCCACTGTCATTGGCCAGCACCCTGGTGATACTGTGGACAATATGGACAGCACTGTGCATGTTCACTTTACCCCTCCCAACATCAAAGCTGCTGCACTTATCTAATCCATCTATTAAAAAGTAGTAAGGCTGGGCAACCCCATGAAAATATAAACTTTATTGCCCCAAATCTAGGATCTAATCAACTCGATAGTCAGCCTGATCACTCTGGCACTGTATCGTGACATTCCAACATGGAGTCTAACAAACACAGTTTCAATAATACAGAAAGGAAAAATTCTTATTTATACCCGGTATTTTACAAATGAATATCTCTACTGCCTGACATGTAAAATGAGATTGGCCTATACCATAAAAACCTACTAAACACCCTGCAGTGATCTCACTACTAGCAACAAGAGAAATACTGGACTTTTCCCAACATAACACATACCATAATAAGCCCTAAAAACTATCATGCAATCGATATACTGTGAATATCTATATCCTATTTCTCTGGCCAATCTATTCTATGTAATGATCACTTTGGCTGTCTCTGTGTGATATGCATGCAATGTATAAGCCAATGGTGTGGACTTTGCAGTCAGAAGTTAACTGCAGAGATTATAATAAAAAATTTATTCTAAATTAAAGCATAAAAAAATAAAAATGCAATAAAACTGCATTTTTTTTTGTTTTTGAGGACATCCAACCAACCAAAAGATTGAACGACTTTGATTGATTCATTTCTTATTATTGTCGCCTGGGCTTTGTACTGGGGCCCCTAGATGCGGGCTGCACACCAAGTCCACTGGCATGTGTTTGGGAGGAGTGGAGAAACTGGCTCTGAGAACTACACACACATTAAATCAAGGCACTATATGTGCATGCATGTGTGTGTGTTTGAGACAGCGTATATGCTCACACAGTTAAATAAAGGCAAATGTCTACTAACAAGCTGTGCAGTCAACAACTGTTCACACAGATGTGCACTCCAGCAGAAAGGGGCCTAAAAAAACATTAACTTGTGGAAAGCTAAGTCAAACTGGCAAGAAATGTGTCCCGCACTGTTCTGATTTCACATTACACTGCTCAGTGGTTTTTAAGATTGTGGGACTAAAAGCTTTATCAGAACATGTTTTTTGAATTCAGGGGTGAATTCTCAGCAGAGTAGCCCAATACCTCTCTCCTTGTTTCCCACCTTTGCTGCCTTTCCCCACCCCTCCATTACAGTCCATTCCAATCCATGTTGTCTTCAGGTGGGCAAAATAGTGTTTTTGAATAAGGACCAAACAGCCTAAGTATAGTGTTAATTTAGAGAGCTTCACCACCTAATTCAGGGGTAAGTTGAATCCCTCCACTTTATCCTACAGACTACTGAGCAAAGGGAAATAGAGACATGGGAAACAAAATGAGGCCATTCAACACCTGAGCTCTATTCTGTCATTTAATTGAGACTTTGACTGACCTGCAACTTAGTTCAGTTTTTGCTCCATATCCCTCACCTAACAAAACTCCTTTGATTTCAGTCCTGAAAGTTCCAACGACCTTCAGTGTTCAGCCTTTTGCAGGAAAACTTCCAAATTTCTACTCCCCATTATGATTTTGTTCTAATGGACAAAATGTCTAAATTCTGCAATGACCTGGTTTCACTCCCTCATAGTAGACTTGATGTAAACATTGTGGTTGCAATATCCACCAGAATCATGAACATGCACATCTGTCTTCACCAATTTGAAAGGCGGCAGTGGTAGGGTTCGCAGTCTCTGAAAAACACATTCGTTACTGAAGATTCCAAATTAAAGTGAAACATTAGCAGACTGCTTCACCTGAGAACCCGTCCTCCACACTCAAACAGCTCCCCAATGCTGTCGCCATTACATGAGGCCAGCGTAAGATGTTAGCAGTCAGAAACAAATTGTAAGCATTACCTTCTTAGCCTGTGAAGTTGCACTGCAGTGCATAAACATGCATCTGCACACTAAATATACAAGTGCATTGCGTACATATATGTGCACTAATACACAAAGTACTTTTTCAAATCAACATCAAAGCTTTGCAGCATCTCTGTGACAGTAAAATTCTCTGATTTTCTAGTTGGTCATAGTTCCCTTTATATATATATATAAATGGCAGAGAACACCAGTCAAATAACCAATGTTATATGATGCAGATTCACCCATACAATCATTTATAGAAGGTAACCTGCTATTTTAAAGCAATATAACTCCCAGTAAGATCAAAGCTTCTATTCAGTAATTATTTTCTCTTTGGTTTTTCTTTTAAACGGCTTATCTTATTAGGCCTAAATTATAAACTCCTTTCAGTTGCCCTGCATAGATCATTTATTGCAAAACACCTTGAACAACAGGAGCCTTCCTCAGGATTAACGCAGAATGAAAAAGTGGCTTATCATCTGCAGACTTTACGTGCTGGAAATATTCACTGTCATCTCCTATTCATGAGGGAGGGTTTGAAGCAGGAAAATAAACAATGATACTGAAGAGGGGGATGGAAGGGTGGCTGAAGTGTACTCCATGGGCAAATGAGTTTCCATCACTCTTATGCATTTGAACTGACATCCCTTTATCAAACAAATCTTACCAATGTATTATAACTGTGGATTTATGGAGCAAAAGTGGGGTGGGTGGGGTGGGTGGGGGAAGCTGAATTTTTGAAAACAGACTTTTAGTTCAAGACTGCCCTGTGCAAGTTAATGTGAAGAGAAGACAGAAATATCAATAAAAATTACATTGCCACTACATTTCGTCTTGTTACCCTCTTCAATACATTTTTCTCTGCTCTCGTACCTTCCCACTTACCCGTACTTTCTCACATACCTTTTCCCTTATATTTCAAACTGCGGCACTTTGTAACTATTACGGTCTAAAGGAAAACACAGACTGCATAACCTTGGTGTGAATCCAACTGAACCTTTACTTGAGCAATCCAACATTATAACCATGTTCTCACACAGAGGCTTAACTACAGCAGCAGTTGCTAAATGTTTATCCTTTTACATTGAACCTACAGATCAGTTGGTCCAAAAAGTTGTGTCTCTACTCTACTGTTCACGTCCTTTCTCTGTTTCAACAGGCAGAGTTCAATAAACAAGTATGAACGTTAACCCTACATTCACTGAAACATTTAAAGGCTTCATGTTTCTAAAAAACTTGAATCACAACACAAGTCAGAGCACAAAATTGGGGGCAGGAATTGGCCATTTGATCCTTCTAGTCTGCTCCACTGATCAATAAGGTCATGATCTCAACTCCCTTTCCCGTCTACCCCACATAACCTAGCTTGCCTTGTCAATCAAATTGCATATCCCAAATCATGGAGGAGGGAGCTCTGTGTACCAGTTGTCCAACACAGTTACACAGGTCATTTGTTACAACTCAGGTGTACATCAGGGCACTTATGCAACTTCTGACTGAATTCTCAACTCAGAGCGAGGAAAAAAAATTATGAAAAGCAAACTGTGTGGATAAAGCACATCAGAGGGTTTGTAGAGACAGTGATGCAAGTTGCTAACAGGTGTCATCCGAAGTTCCTGTATTCCAGAAGACTAATGCAGAAGTAATGAATTGGTTGGACATGCTAGCAATGGGAGCTGCATAGGCAATGCATTTCACTCTGTGCTTGGTCACATCACATGACTTCTGCTTTTGACCTTCCAAAATGCATCATCTCACAGATGTCCAATTTATACTTGATCTGCCATTTCTCTGTCCAACTTTCCAACTGATCCATATCCTGCTGTATCCTTAGATAATCTTCTTCACTATCCACAATTCCATCAATTTTGGTGTCACCAGTAAACTTACTATTCAGATCACCTACATTTTCATATACATTACAAAAAACAGAGATCCCAGCACTGATCCTTGTGGGACACCAATGCACACAGACCTCCAGTCAGAAAAATACCCTCCCACAACTATCCTGTCTAGCCAATTGCTTAAGGTATTCTGACCATAATCAATCTCAATTCTTAACATCTGATCTCCAGTTTCCACGCCAATAAATTTGCTGTATATTTGAAACCACCAAATGGACTTCATTGTTTGGTAAACTCCACACATTGTATCTGAAAGTTGACCTAAGAAGCATTTCTTATGAACGTGCAAAGAACAAAAAACAGCACAGCAGGAAAAAGCAGATATCATAGAATCCGTACTGTGCGGAAGCAGGCCATTCAGCCCATTAAGTCCACAAAGACCCTCCGAAGAGCAGCCCACCCAGATCTACATTGCCCCACCCCCATCCTATCCCTATAACCCTGCATTTATCATGGCTAATTCAACTAGGCTGTACATCCCTGAACACTATGGGCAACTTAGCATGGCCAAACCACTATCTTTGGACTGTGGGAGAAAACCAGATCATCCGGAGGAAACCCACACAGATACCGGGAGAATGTGCAAACTCCACACAGACAGTTACTCAAAGCTGGAATGGGACCCGGGTTCTGGTGCTGTGAGGCAGTAGTGCTAGCCACTGAGCCACTGTGCCACCCCTTAATCATGCTTAAATTTATTCCTTGCTCTTATCTGCTCCCAGGAATAAATTGAATTTGGTAAAAGCATTTGTAGGGTCTCTTCTTCATCCTACTTTGCAACATAACCCATACCGGTAATCTAGAGAGAGGATAAATAGACACGCTGTTTGCGTAGCCCATAGAATAGTGACTTCCAAAAGATACCATCATCACAAACAGTCACTGTCACCACTCTTCACATTTGAACAACCCATTCAAATTCATGTCCTGTTCTCTCTGTTATTTACTGCTTTCCCTCAGCCCTCTTTCTGTGGCCTAACCAAATCCACAACCCCAACAAACACTAACTCCCATCAATAAATGAAATACACAGGTTCTTGCTCGTCCAAATTACAGTCAGGATGAAATTGAAGTTCAACTTTTCAGCTTCCCCAAATCTAGGTACGGTGAAGGGAGGGGGCTGGGTGTTGAAAGAGGAATTACATGTTCCAGTTACAAGGCACCGGGGTAAGCAGACATTGTTCCAATGTTATAGTCTTTAATTTTCTTCTCCTAAAATATTTGCACATAAACAAAAATTATCATATTATTTGGTGAAGCAACCTACTTGCTCAAAAGCAGACTAAAGATTGGACCTGAAAATGCCACAAAAGTGTGCCGGGGACTGAATGTTAATACAGTGTGGCTCTGTTCACAATGAACCAGTGTACAATACAGACTGATTCAGAACTGATAATGCTGGGTCAATTTAATTAATAGAAATATTCTATAGGATTGCACTGGGAATACTAGCCCAGCACAAATGTGACTGGGAAATCTTGGGTGCTCAGGCCAGCTCCACGATTTAATCCTGATGTGTCAAGGCCATTTTGGGAAAGGATAAAGTCAGAGCGAAATAATAAAAAAAAACCCAACTGACATGATTTTACATAAATCTTCAAAGTCACAACTTGCAATTTGGACAATTTCAATGTTAAAGATTAAGATAAGTGATTTAATTGGTTTGATATTGCAACCAACTGAAACTAGTTCATAATCAGTACTTCAGTATCATAACTTGATTTCAATGTGCCAGAATGGCCCAAGGAACAGGCAATTTAATGCCAGAATATCGAAGTCGCAAAACACAATAACAATGCTAGCTGAATTCAACTGTGTAGTATGCTTTATTCTCCCTGTATTAGACCTCAAAGGAACAGACCAATCCCAGATATAAACTGTGTGAGATAAGCACAAACCCTTATTGCCATACGCCAACTTGTGTTTCAGCTTGTTTCAAAACTGACTGAAGAAAATTAAAAATGAGATGACAGCTCATTAGCCTACAGGGGTTTCTAACCAAACCAGGCAACAAATAGAAGGCTGCTGACAGGACCTGGTCTGACAGCTTTGTAAAGCTTTTCATTGACAGCTGCAACTTTTCAAACAGCAAACCACCACCTAAGCTGGTGTCAAAAACAAAGACAGAAGATACAGGCCTTCGGCCTACCAAGACTGCACTGACACATGTCTTTCTAAACTAAAAACCTTTTGTCTCTATGTGGTCCATATCCGTCTATTCCCTGCCTATTCATATATTTGTCAGATGCCTCTTAAGCGTTGCTATTGTAACTGCCTCCATCACCACCTCTGGCAATGCATTCCAGGCACTTAACATCCCGTGTAAAAAAGCCTGCCTCTCTCATCTCCTTGAAACTTACCCCCTTTTAACTTAAAACTATGCCCCCTAAAAATTGACATTTCTTCCCTGGGAAAGAGACTCCAAGTATCCATTCCCTGCATGCCTCTCATAGTTTTCTAAACTTCCATTAGGTTGTTCCTCATCCTTCAACGTTCAAGTGAACACAAGCCAAGTTTGTTCAATCTCTCCTCATAGCTAATACTCTCCAAACCAGACAACACCCCATTTCTGTACTCTCTCCAATGCCCCCCACATCCTTCTTGTAGAGTGGCGACCAGAACTGTACACAATATTCCAAATGTGGCCTAACTAAAAAGTTCTATACAACTGTAATAGTTAGGAACCAAAAGGAAACTGAAATAATCAGCTGTAGTGCATCCTGGCAGTGAATATATTAGAGGCAAGTGCAGAGAAATCACAGAGGTTTGTCAGGATTCACAATCATTCCCCCATTTGCTCCCAGGTTTAAAAAACAAATCACCAATTAAGCTTGACAATGGGTTGCATTTATCAACCATGAGGAAAACCAGTGGCAACTGCGTCACTGGCATAATACCCAAATTACACTGGCACCCGTACGTACAGCAATAACTATGCAGAGTCTGAAAAAAATATATAAATTGCCAGCACACATGCGATTTGAGACTGCAGCAGCGCTGACAGTTTACCCAATCTCTTCAGTTGCCCATGGATGCTGTTTCCGAAATGTTTCATAGTCTGACATTTATCACCCAGTATTGGTGAACCCCAGTATTGGCATCGGGCGTGCATCATCTCACACTGCATCAAAACAAACAAGAAGAAAAAAAATACCCAAGCAAAATGGTTTGGTATATTCTGGCAGACTTTCACTGCGAAGAGCAATTCTGCAAGCCTCTCAGATATGAACCCTTGTCATTGTTTGAAATAAAATTAAGCAGCAGTTTCTCATGCGTTTGAAACACACTAAACTATCATAATAACACAGGTGCCTGCACACTAATACATCGAGAGTTCACATCAGCTACACTTTCAACTTTCAGATTTAATAAATTAGGTAAAATCCTTTGCTTTCCTTGATCACAGTGCATAACCCGGTAATATTTAAACACTATATAAAGTTGCAATTCCTCTGCAGCGTGCAATGACCATGTATTCTGTGAGGAGAGGTTAAAGGGGAAGGGCAGAAGTTAACGGCAGCATGTCAGCTTTTCACAGTAGCAATGAGACAAAACCTCAGTTCAAGATGTGGCACGTGACACCTTTCCTTATTTGCTCTTCAAAGCACAACAGCCCACACTCCTCAGTCAATTGAAAAGATCACAACACTAGACAGAAAGACCATAGATAGGCTAAGTACAATTCCTTGGTCTCAGGAGCCTTGACTTGATGGCATGGGTGCTGGCGGTGACTTGCCGATTCCAATTCCCTCTCCTGTCCCCTGCATGTCCATTTGCTGCTCTGCTGGCTACCTGGAGAAGATGGGGAGGTGCTGCTGGCTGAGGATGCTGCTTGTTCGTGGGGATTCAGTCTTTGCCATGACTTCTTTAAACCACGAAGCCACGTCCACTTCTAATGTCTCATAACGTTTAATGAAATTGTGTTCCTGCAGTGACAGAAGAGGAGGTTGTTCAAGTCAATAATAGAATACAAGAAAGCATAAACTTCTTCACTCATGCAAGTGTCCATCCTAGATAACATCCCAGGAAATCTCCCACCGAATTTCTATTCTTTCAAGGGAATGAAACTACATCTGTGGTCTTGCACACTTGCAGCCTGAACACTGAAGTCAAGAACACTGTTTGCCTTAAGCTCGGATCTGATCATAGTGACATCTCGCAAGATTTGTTTTTAATATCCTACCATTTAAGGCTCATTTTCTTTCTCTATCACTACCTTAAAAATGTTTAATGATACATAGCATGATAGGAATATAAGTTATGAGGAGGATGCAAAGAGACTGTAAAAAGATATAGACAGGTTAAGAGTGTTAACAGATGGCAGATAACATCTGAACTTTGAGACTATTAACTTCGGTAGGAAGAAGAGGAAAGTGAGCAACTTTAAACATTGATGTTCAGAGAGACTTTTGTGTACTCACACAAGGACAACAATAAGCTAACATACAGGTTCATTGAGCAGTAGGAAACATATGGCATGCTGGGAATTGAGATACAAGCATAATAAAGTCTTGCAATTTATGCAAGGGTTTTGTTGAGACCACACTTAAGTAAGTATTAATCTCTATATTCAGGGTAGGATATACTTGCATTGGTGGTAAAACAGTTAAGATTTATTAGGTTAGCTCCTGGGCTGAGAGAGCTGTCCTATGTTGAGAGACTTAGTAAATTGAGACTACAGCCTCTGGAGTTTAGAATAATGAAAGGCAATCTCATCAAAACCTCCGTGATTCTGAAGGGGCTTGACAGGATAGATATTAAGAGGTTGTTTTCACTTGCTGGAGAAACTTGAAATACGGGATACACAGTCTCAAGATAAGTGGTCAATCATTTAGAGCAGACATAACGGAAAATTTCTTCAGACTTGATATCATTGGAATTCTCTATCCCCAAGGGCTGTGGGGACCCTTACGCAAGGACATTTATGGCTGAGATAGACAGATATTTGGATTGGATTTTCCAAGAATGACCTGAATGGATTTTGGCCTCCACTCCATGCCTCAGGTAAGGACTTGGAGTTTGCTGCTCACAAGGGTGGTGGAAGCAGAGATGATTAATGATTTCAAAGGAAATTGAATGGGCATTTGAAGGAAATAAATTTACGGGGTAATGGATCCAGAATGAAGGAATGCAACTGCATGAATTACTCTACAGAGAGCTGACACACACTCAATAAATCGAATGGCTTCATGTGCCATGTGCATGATAACTCAAAGACAAGAGCTCCATTTCCTGCTCTCCACTCCTCTTGCAAAATTCCCTATTTAAAGAACTCTGAACAACTTCAAACTAAGCTTTCAGAACTTCCCAGAGCTTCCCCAGGGTCACTGGTGATCAATCAGGTCCTTACATTTCAGTAAGTTCTCTAAGTAAAATTTCTTTATCATATCATAGAAATTACAGTACAGAAGGAGGCTATTTGACTCATCGTGTCTGTACCAGCTCCCTAAAAAGCTACCCAGCTACACCCATTCTCCAGCCCTATAATAATCATCTCCATTATCCACTTTATACTCTTCATTGAGGGGGATACAATTTCAAAATCCACCTTGAAAACTCAGCATGTTTATAATTTAATAAATCTGCCTTTCTTACACTAGGACTCTCATAGTGACTCAACAACACAGACTATCCTCTCCCTGTCAAAATGTCTGTAAAAATACTGTCTTTTGGTATCTTAACTGTTTTTCTCTCGTATTCTCTCAGTCTTTCAACTTCTGTGGCAGTTTTCCTCTTTTCCATATATTTACTCTTAACTTTCTAAATTAACAGCTCCGAGAATGCATTTTTAAAAAATTCATGGAATATGCCCAAATCATTCATCCATAGGTTCCCAGTTGAAAACACTTCTTTTCCCTTCTTGGAACATACTTTGTGTGCATCCTTTCCTTCTCCTCTTTAAATATTTCCCTTTGTTAATCTAGTCTCTCACTACCAATATTTTGTATAATGCAGGAAAGGTTGTTTTTCACCTTCTTCCTCATCAAACATTCTCATCTTTGTACTTTATAAAATATACCCTTACACTAAAGCTAGTTACATTAGGATCACCTAAATGTGATCTACTTAGATGACCACAATATCCAGAACCAGTACAAGTGATATTTCTTAGATAACAAGGTGTAGAGCTGGATGAACACAGCAGGCCAAGCAGCATCAGAGGATCAGGAAAGCTGACGTTTCGGGTCTGGACCCTTCTTCAGAAATGCTGAAGAA